GTGAGGGAGGGGTGGGACTGAGAAACACTTGTGAAGTTCACAGACCAGAGGCATAAATAAGCTCACTAAAAGACTGACCTAATCATAAGACTACAGAACTCAACTCTTCTCCCTATACATTACAACTGCATTACTACAGGCTCATTTATAGCAGTTCCTTTTACCTAGTACATGATGTCAAGCTATCAAGAAAAAAAATACAGGGCATAATAAAAGGTAAAAAAACAAGTATCAGGACCAGATACAGCATATTTGGAATTATCAAACTGAAAATCTAAGATAGCTATGACTAATATGCTAATGAGTTAAGTAAACATGTTAAAAAAGAAAAAGGAGAGATGAAAACCCTAAGAAAGAACCAAAAGGAAATGCTAGAGATAAAACAACCACCACTACCACCACTGTAAGAGAAATGAAGAATGCCTGTGATGGGCTTATTAGTAGACTGGGCATGGAGGAAGAATCTGAGCTTGAAAATATATGCCAAAAAACTACTTCTGGGCATAAAATGTAACTACAGAAATTCAAGGACAGGAAAAAAATCTGAAGACAGAGGGGGAAAAAAAATCATCTTGGAGAGGAAAAAAAGAAAAAGAACATACATGTGACTTCCTGCAAGAAAAAGAACAGGTTGAAATATTTATAGTGTTAAGAGAAAAAAACCCATAAACCTAGCACTCTATCTTGTGAGATTATTATTCAAAAGTGAAAAAGAAACACTTTCTCAGACAAAAATTAAGGAAATTTGTTGTCAGTACACCTGCCTTGCAGTAAATATGGGGAAGGTCAGCAACTGAAATCTACATATATAGAGCATCAAAGAAAGACTGAAAGTAAAATAAAACCTTTAATTTTTCTTATACTTCATTGATCTAACAAATAAGAATTTGTTCAAAATAATGTCAACAATTGTGCTTACGTATTCAGATGCTGTTAATTCAATTATTGGGTTGTGTCCTAATAATGCCATTATAAATTGAAAACATTGTAAATTGAAGATATCATGAAAACACAACTTATCAAAATTTGTGGGATACAGTGAAAGCAGTGCTTAGAAAGAAACATAGAACACTGATGCATATATTAGAAAAATCAATTATCTGAGCTACCATCTTATGAAACTAGAAAAAGCCAATTAAATCCAAAGTAAGCAGAATATGTAAAAATTAGAGGAGAAATCAATGAAATTGAAAACAAGATATCAACAGAGAAAAATCAAAGAATTCAAAAGGTGGTTCTCTGAAAAGATCAATAAAATCAATAAGCCTCTAGCCAGGCTAAGAGAAAGGACAAAATACTATCAGAATTAAGAGTGGGTATCGTTACAGATCTCATGGACAATAAAAGGATAATCAAGGGATATTATGAACAACTTTATGCCCATAAATCTGGTGACCTACATGAAATGAATCAATTCCTTAAAAGACACAATCTATCAGAACTCTAAGAAAAAATAATCTTCATTAAAAAGCATCTATTGAAGAAATTAAATCTGTAAGTAACAATGTTCTAAAATAGAAGGCAGGACAGATGAATTTTACCAAACATTTAAGGAAGAAACCACACCAATTTTCTGTAATCTCTTTCAGAAGATAGAAGCAAAGGGGATGCTCCTATCTCATTCTATGAAGTCAGCATTACTCTAATACACAAACCAAAGACATCAGAAAACTATAGATCAATATTTGTCATAAACAATGATGCAAAAATTCTAAACAAAATATTAGCAAATTAAAAACAACAATGTATAAAAAGAAGTATACACCAGCATAAAGTAGGATTTATCCCACATGTAAGACTGGTTCAATACTGGAAAATCAAGTAAGCAATTCACCGTATCAACAGCTGAAGGAAGAAAAATCACATGACCACACCAATAGAGAAAGGTATCTGACAAAATTTAACATCCACTCATGATAAAAACTAGTAAACTAGGAATAGAGGGAACAACTTAAACTTGATAAATAATGTTTAAAAAAACATAAAGCTAATAACATCATCCTTAATGATGAGGAACTAGAAACTTTCTCACTAAGATCAGGAACAAGACAAGAATATCCCTTCCTCATTACTCTATACTGGAAGTTCTAGCTAATGCAGTAAGACAAGAAAAGGGGAAAAAGTGTGTACTAAATTGGAACAAGAAAATAAAACTGCCTTTGTTTGCAGATAAAATGACTCTATGTGTAGAATAGATACAGGAATTTGAAAAAAAGAAAAACAACAAAAACCTCCTGGAGCTAGTGATTATAGCAAAGCTGCAGGATACAAGGCTCATATACAAAAGCTAATAGCTTTCCTGTAAACCAGCAATGAATAAGTCAAATTTAAAATTAAAAACACAATAGCATTTACATTAGCATCCCCCAAAATGAAATACCTAAGTACAGATCTAACACAACTAGTACAAGATCTTTGAGGAAAATTTACTAGAACTCTGATGAAAGAAATCAAAGAACTAAACAAGGAAGAGCTATTCCATGACCCAGAAGAGCCAACTGAATGTTGACAGAAAAAGTCAGATGGATGCTACTGACTTCAAGATTTACTATAAAGTTACAGTAGTCAAGATGGTATTGACAAAAGAACTGACAAAATAGATCAATGGAACAGAACAGAGAGCCCAAAAATAAACCCCCACATAAATATAGTCAAAGGAGCAAAGGTAGTGTTTGACCAAGAGGCAAAGGCAATACAATGGAGAAAACAGTCTTTTTCAACAAACTGGCAATAAATGAATAACCACATGCAAAATAAGTCTAGACACAGGTATGTTCACAAAAAATAAACTCAGCGAATTAAATGTAAAACTCAAAACTATAAAACTCCTGGAGGATAACATAGCAGAATCTTGGGTTTTGTGATGACTTTTTAGATATGGCACCAAAGGTACCAACCATGAAAGAAGAATTAATAAGCTGGACTTCACCAAAATTAAAAATGTCTACTTCTTTCTTAAAAAAAATTTTGTGTCTTTTGCAAAAGACATGTCAAGAGTATGAAAAGAAAGGCCACAGATAAGGAGAAAATATTTGCAAAAGCCACATCTGATAAAGAACTATTAACTAAAATGTGTAAAGAGGCTGAGGGCGGTGGCTCACTTTGGGAGGCCAAGGTGGGTGGATCACCTCAGGTCAGCAGTGAGACCAGCCTGTCCAACATAGTGAAACCTGGACTCTACTAAAAATACAAAAATTAGCTGGGTGTGGTGGCACACGCCTATAATCCTAAATACTCAGAAGGCTGAGGCAGGAGAATCACTTGAACCCAGGAGGCAAAGGTTGCAGTGAGCCAAGACTGTGCCTGGGTGACAAAGCAAGGCTATATCTCAATAAATAAATGAATGAATGAATAAATAAATAAATAGTGCAAGGAACTCTTAAAATTCCATAAGTAAACAATCCATTTTAAAAAATGTGCCAACAACTTTAACAAACACCTCACTGAAGATAGATAGATGGCAATTCAGCATATGAAAAGATGCCCCACACATCATATGGCATCAGAGAAACACAAATTAAAATTACAAGATACCTTTACACACCTATCGGAATGGCCAAAATTCAGAACACTGATAACATCAAATACTGGTGAAGATGCAGAGCAACAGAAACACTCACTCACTGCTGGTGAAAAATGTAAAAGGGTAGAGTCATTTTAGAAGACAGTTTGGACGTTTCCTAAAAAACTAAAGACTTTTACCCTAAGGTCCAGCAATGGCACTCCTTGGCATTTACACGAAGTGGCTGAATAATGAAGTCCACACAAAAACTTGCACACCAATGTTGACAGCCATTTTATTCATAATTAGCAAAATGTGGAAACAATCACTATGTCCTTCATTAGGTGAATGAATAAACTGTGATATGTCCAGAAGATAGAAAAAGAGAAGTACTAACGACCTATGAAAAGACATGGAAGAAACTTAAATGTATATTACTAAGTAAAAACAGTCAAGCTAAAAAGGCTATATGCTGTATGATTACAAGTATATAACATGTTGGCAAAAGCAAAGCTACAGACACAGTAAAAGGATCGGTGACTGCCAAGGAGTGGGAGGGAAGGAAATACAAATAGGCAGAACACAGAGGATTTGGGGGCAGTGAAAACACTCTGCATGATACTATAATGGTGGATACCTGTCATTATACTTTGCTCAAAGCCATAAAATGTACAGCACTAAGAATGATCCCTAATATAAACTACAGACTTTGGGTAATTATGATGTATCAATATAGGTTCATCGTAAAGACATGTAACACTCTGGTAGGGGACAGACACTGACTATGAAATAGTCTATACTTGTATGTGGGAGGAGGTACAGGGGCAAACTCTGTACTTTCCTCTCAATTCTGTGAACCTAGAACTCCTGTTAAAAAAAAAAAAATCTTAAAAAAAATACATATGATCCAGTAATCCTACACCTGGGCATACTTCCAAATGTATTAAAACAGGTTCTCAAAAACATATTTGTACACCTATGTTTACTTCAGCATTACAAAATTCAAGAAGTGGAAGCAAACTAAACATCCATCAACAAATGGTTAAAGAAAATGTGGTATACACATATAACAAAATGTTATTCTGTCTTAAAAAAAGGAAGGAAATCCCATAAAATGCTACATGAATGAACCTTGAGGACATTATGCTATGTGAAATAAGCCAGTCAAAAAAAGACAAATACTTAATGATTCCACTTATATAAAGTAGTTAAAATAATCAAATTTCAGAAGCAAAAAGTAGAATGATATTTTCCAAGGAAAGTGAAGGGGGGAAAGGAGAGTTGTTCAATGAATGTAGAGTTTCTATTCTGTAAGATGAAAAAGTTCTAGAGATCTGCAGCACAACAGTGTGCACACAGTTACCACAATTATACTATACATTTAATCATTAATATGGTAAAATTTGTTGGTTTTGCCAATTGTTTTCTTTACCTCTTATATAAACTGATAAAAACCTGTTTCATCCTAATCGATTATTATATGACTACTGCTCCCCAGAGAAAAAAGGACACGTGAAATACTACTTATCCATCTCCTGGGTCTTAGCGGTAGATGTCAGGATCGAGAGGGAACTGCAGTTGGAAGATAGCAGAAGAGCTGTAAGACAAGTCTCAAACAGAAGGACGAAAAGGTGCAATGAAAGAAAACAAGTTTAAGATAGAGAAGAGCATTCAAACACTGCAACCTGAGGTAAGGTGTTTTCACTAAAGGTTTCGGGGCAAAACAGCGTTGGCATGCTTGTAGACATGGGAAGCAGCAGTGATGCAGAGGTGAACATTATTGTAGATAAAATAGACAGGAATTTGAGATGCTAGGGAGTGAGGGGTTAATCATATAAATAAAGATGACAGCAGACTTGGGATAGAGTGAAGAATAAGTTCAGGCAGCAGTCTTCAAAAACTGAGAAGAAACTGAGAGCTCACTAAAGGCAGATCGAGAATGATACAACCAGAAGGCATAAGCTTCACAGGAGCAGGGATTTTTACGCTGAGAGAATAACAGGAATAGTTCAAAGCAGCAGTAGAGAACACGAATAACACTGTGTGGGAGAACACGTCCAGGGCTTACTGTACCTGTAACCTAGCTTGTGTAACTGGAAATGCAGAATCTGCTCTAGACAGGTCATCACTTCTCACTATTTATTTTACTTGGCCTTCCTAAGAAATATAGACCTTTTGGAAATTATTGACTTTGGGCTTCTAGGACACTATTTCTTGCAAGGTTTCCTCCCTTCTGTCTGGCTGTTTTACTGAGACTTCTCTTCCAAATTTAGAGACATTTGTATTCTCCAGGGATCAGCTATTAGATACTTTCTCTTCTAAATTTCCCTTTGGACAGTTTCATCTTCTTTGAAGGATTGAGCAATAACTAAATGACTTCCAAATATCTACATCAGTATAAATTCTGCTTGTCAGACTATATAAAATGGGCTCTTCAAGGAATTTGATGTTTTAAGAAAGAGAAAGCCACATGATTTCAATATCACAGAGATGACTATGGAAGAATAGCAATAAAAAGAGAGGCAACTTAGCAGAGGTGAATCACAAAAGATGACTAGGAGCTGATGACACTAAGGGGAAGAATGTTTCAGATAGAGGAAAATGAATAAGTAAAAGCACAGGGCCCTGAGAACATGGCATTATAAGACAATTCTAAGCACTTCAAGAGCCTGAAGTTTAAGAAAGGTTCAAAAATATGAAAATGGAGAGGCAGAGAGAAGCCAGATCATGGAAGACCTCACTAGCCATAAGTCCTCTTTTTAGCCAAAAGAGGAACAATCTAATACAAGCTAAAGACCTTCTCCCCATAAAAATACATGCACACTTAAGGAGTGCACATGCACTCTTCCAAAAGATTCATAAACCACTATATTCATGAACCATTAGATAAGAACAAAAACAGCAGGAGTCACTGAAGGGTTTTAAGCAGGTAACTAATACAATTTGCCTTTTTAATAACTGGGACCAAAGTGGGCAAAACTGGAGGCAAGCAATACAGTTAGGTCATGACTATCGTAATAAATTCAGACAAAGAATGTAGTAGTAGCAAGGAAAAAAAAAAAGATGAAACTGACCCAGGAAATATTTAAAGTATGTAGTTTGTAAGAGGTACATAAGCTGGAAGATCTAGAGATAATGGGTAGGGTTTCTGGTATGGGCAATAAGATATGCTACAAGCTGAGCTGTTAATAAAAACAAGCCTTCATCAGCATTTAGTAAGTGATTTATTTATATTATGTCACTGAATACTTAATTATGTTAAGGAGACAGTAGTTAAAGACAGAACTTGGCGAATCAAAAAGTTCTGCGAATTTGGGGAAATAGCATCCCTTTTATTTTCATTGATCTCTCTTGGCTTTGACCCTCATTTATAGCTGACAAGAAATTCTTCATACTAAAGGTAAACTATTCTCATTAATGTTTCCAAAAATCTCTTGGGAATAATTAAGACATAAATAAATTCAAAATTCACACGATTACAAAAATCTTTCCTAAGATAATCTCGTTAACAGCCATGTTTTGCTCATTCTACTTTGAGAAGATTCAGCCAGAAGCAATTCATCCATTCAACTATCCCTCCTGTGAACTAGAAGAACTACACAAAAGGTTTAAGTTTATATGATGCTTTGTGTGGTAGAAAAGGGGACAGATTGTGACTCGTGTCACTTCCATGCCTGATGCCTTTCATGGGCTCCTGTGTCTGTCAGAAGAAAGCAAAGGCCCTTAACGTGGTCCTGGCTTTCTACATCCAAATGCATTTTCCACTCCTTCTCCCATCAGCTAACTCTATATTACAGCATCACGGAACTTCCCACAATTCAGTGGTCTTGCTCTGTCTTTTCTGATTCCAGGTGTTAGAAAAGTTATTCTTCCTGTCTAGAACACTATGATCCTTAGTTATTCCCAATCGCTTTTAAGATGATTAGGTATTCTTCCTCTGTGGTCTTACAGCAACCAGTACCTATTCTATTATATGTTATTATAACTGCCTATTAATTAAATGGGAAGCTGAGGCATATAACCCAGAAACTTGTAACAAACTACAGATACTCAGTAGAGAGTTTTCAGTTTCTCTTCTGATACTGTCTTGATAACAATGTCAATTAAACCTGCCTTTCTCTAGTTATTCGACCTTGAAGGGAAATAGATGTCAGAATACCTCCTGGTTTCTTGAGTATGTCGGAAGCATACAAAAGGACTTTCTCAATATGATATCAGAACCTACAGGAAAGGCTTCTGAAAATATAAGAACCACCTATTTGATTAAAGAGACTTCTTTTACTTCACAAAATATTTCAAAATGTTACTTGATCCATAAATGCTTATAGATATGAAGCACACAAAAGTGAGAAGTCATATAGGAAATGAAAGCATCCAAGCCATATTTCCATGGTCTACTCAGCTCTCCTAACAAATTCGAGATGGTGCATAATGGTTTGCTATGTGGTAAATGCTCAAAAAGATGATAGGTGTTATTACCGTCATTCTATAGGCTGTGTATATATTTATCAGTTTATATATACATAAATTAATCCTAAAAAATTCTTCCTACATTTAAAAGGCAGAAACAGACACTTTGTACAAATTGACTAGCTTCATTCTGTATGCCAGACACTGTCATTAGGCTTCCATTCTAGTGGTAAAGGAGCAAAACAACAAATAAATCAATATGCGAGAAGTCAAATGACATTAAATCCCATGAAGAAAATGCAGCAAGGTAAGGGGAATACAGAAGACTGAACATGATCATTCTTTGATGCAGCTGGTCAGGAAAAGCATCATTTGAGCAGAGAGCTCTCTCTGAATCAAGTGAGGAAGGAAGCCAAATGGATTATCACAGAGAAGGGTCACACACAATAGTTCTAAGTTTTAAGACACAGCAACTTTAAACAGAGATGAGCAAGTGAGGTAGAGATATCACCGAAGTGAAAGGAAGCCAGTTTGTACAGGGCATGCAAATCTCCAGATTTTACTGTAAGAGCATCGGATGGGAAGCCTCTGAAAGGTTCTGAGCATAATAACATGGTTTAACTCAGATTTTAAAAAGATCATTCTGGCTTCTACTAGAGAACACACTGTAAAGCGCAAGAGCTACTAGGAAACAATTTCTTTCTTTTGACAAAAGATGATGGATGCCTTTAAACAGAGTAAACAATGGTTTGAGGGAAAAAAAAAAAAAAAAAAAAAACCCATGAATTGTAGATATTTTGAAGGTGTAGCCAACAAGATTTACCAGTAATTTGAGTATATGACTTAGATAAAAGATGCTTCTAAGGCTTTGGGCTGCACATGAGGGAAAAAGAGCTGTTACTGACTGAGATGGCAAAAGATTATGAGAGAGGTAGGTTTGGGAGGATGAAAATCAGGAGCTCCACTTTGGACATGTTAAGTTTGAGAATCAGAATTAACTGCTGGATAAACGAGTCAACAGTTCAGAGGGCAAGAGTTGCCGATGGAAACAGGAGAGCTATCAAAGTGTAAAAGATAAAGCTGTAATCTAGAAAGAACAAAAATATCCCCAGGACTGGGTCCTGGGCATTTCTGATATTTATAGTAAACTGAGCATTTATTAAAACTGCCTTGCTGGGCCGGGCGCGGTGGCTCAAGCCTGTAATCCCAGCACTTTGGGAGGCCGAGGCGGGTGGATCACGAGGTCAAGAGATCGAGACCATCCTGGTCAACGCGGTGAAACCCCGTCTCTACTAAAACTACAAAAAATTAGCTGGGCATGGTGGCGCGTGCCTGTAATCCCAGCTACTCAGGAGGCTGAGGCAGGAGAATTGCCTGAACCCAGGAGGCGGAGGTTGCGGTGAGCCGAGATCGCGCCATTGCACTCCAGCCTGGGTAACAAGAGCGAAACTCCGACTCAAAAAAAAAAAAAAAAAAAAAAAACTGCCTTGCTTTACTGAACCATAAATCACTTGCTGTATTTGCCCCGGCTCCATTTATACACCTGAAAACACAGCCTTCGTGTTAGATGTTAGAGGTAAAGAGTAATTATCAAACATAAAAAATCTGAAATTACTGAAAAACTGATATGAAATCATTAAGAAAACTAAGGTGTCTAAATTAATACATACAAAGAGATTCTACAACATGGCATTTATAAACAAAATCCATGGCCAGGCATGGGAGGTCATGTCTGTAATCCCAGCACTTTGTGAGGCCAAGAGTTCAAGACCAGCCTGAGGAACAGAGTGAGACCTTGTCTCTACAAAAATGGGGGAAAAAAAATTAATGTTTTAGCCTGGCATGGTGGCATGTGCCTGTAGTCCTAGCTAGTCAGGAGGCTGAGGCATGAGGATCACTTGAGCCCAGGAGTTCAAAGTTGTGTTTGAGCTCTGATCACACTACTACATTCCAGCTCTGTCACTTATGATAGAGCAAGACACTGTCTCAAACATGTAAACAAAACAAAACAAAAAAAATACAGGTAAAATAAACAGAAATAAATAAAAAGATCTAGCTTATTGCATTAGTTTCTAGGCTTAACTACAAAATGGTATCCAGTTGTTAAAATTTTTTGCTTAGAACAGGAGTGTTAATTTTTTTTTTTTTTTTTTACTATGCTCATCTACATCTAGGAAATAGGCCACACTAAGAATTCCTAAAAACAAACAGGAGTATTCTTTAAGTGTATATAAATTATTATTTAAGATGCACTCTAGGCGTTCCTTAAATTGAAATATA